CAACCGGCCCTCTTCGGATGAGGGCCATGGAACAGTTGGGAGGGGCCTTACGATACGTTCCAACATGACTAGCGACCACGGACCACCCCTACAGCGTCTCAGGTGGACGGAGGAGCTGAGACGGGATTTAATGCAGTGTTGGGAGAGATGCGAGCCACAGACCTCAGGCTATGCCAAAGTCTGACTCCTCTTCTTCTATAATAGAAGAGGAGTCAGACTCTGACTCTTCAATATCAAACGCTTCAGAGACTGAGGGCGAAGTCTCACTGACACCCGAGACAGCCGCACCGAGGTGGAGCATACTCCCGTTCTACCCTTCTCTCACTGCAGAACCCCCATCTCCTCCCCCTGAGGGCACCAATCAACAGGACTTCACCAGCAGAGATAGTCATTTTCTTCGGAAAATTACGTTCTCTGCAGAACACCTAGCTAGCGCTAACCAAGATCTCGACCATCGGGTACCAGATGGTGTAGATCTTTTTGCACTCAACAATGCAGTCTATGATGTGGCTCGAGGGTTTACTCAGGGCAGACGAACACCTGTCAATCCTGAGCTAAGCCTGAAAAGACGCATCGAACAGATTGCAAGTAAGATCAAGAAGGCTCGACAGGGTGCATCTCGTATTCAGAGTGTGATGGATCACTTAAATACTCACAGGCCTTATACGCCAAGAATTCGGCGTATCGTGGTGAGTATCAGACGTGAACATCACACTTTAAATACGGCCGTGTTGCTGATCCTAAAGGAGAGGTACACAGGCAAAATAAGATCGCTAATGGCCGTTAAAAAGTCATTAGCAAAGCAGTACAAGCGACGAAGAGACAACAGATTGTTCCGATCTGACCCTTCGCGCTTTCTCAAACCGCAAGCCCCTGTCACTTATGAGCCCCCGAGTACAGAAAGAGTCGAAACCTACTGGACCGAAATATATGGTCGCGCTAGTGCGCTAGATGTAGACACTCCAGCCCTTCAACTTTTCAGAGAATTCTGTGATGAACATCTATCACGAATTCCTGAAGAGTCTCAACAAGTCAGCATGGATGAGATCAGGAATGCTCTAAAGGGCACAAAGAACTGGGCTGCCCCTGGGCCAGATGCAATCCCCACCTTCTGGTGGAAGAAATTGACCCCATCCCACCAGCATCTGGCTCGTATCTTCTCAGAATATCTAGGAGGAGATACACCCATTCCTGGATGGCTCGTTGAAGGGCGTACTGTGCTGATCCCTAAAAGTGGTGATCTGTCCAACCCCAAAAATTACAGGCCTATTGCATGTCTAAATACTCTCTACAAATTGTTTACGAAGATTTTGAACGAGAGGATTTTGACTGCAATAGAACCTGTATGGAGACAGATAAACGAACAACGTGGCAGCAAGCGTGGCTTGACAGGTTGCAAGGAGAACTTGCTAGTAGACCGGTGCGTCACAATGGACGCATACTACTACAAGCGCAACTTGTCAATAGCCTGGGTGGATTACAGAAAGGCATTTTATACAACATCACACGAGCTTCTCTTTACTTGCTCGAATGCCTTTCAGTACCCCACAAATAGTGAGATGCATCGAACATCTGATGCCTCTCTGGAGGACACGTTTCACCGTAACATCTGGTGAAACAAGAGTGTCTACCAGAGCAGTGCCATTTAGGAGAGGCGTATACCAGGGAGATACCCTGAGTCCTCTTCTATTTTGCATCTCACTGCTGCCATTATCTGTCACTCTACGCCGAACGCCTGGATATAAAGCCGGACGAGTCTCCAACCGCGTACACAAAGTCACATATCTATTTTATATGGATGACTTGAAAGTGTACGCGGCAAGTCCTGAGAGACTCCGAACAGCCCTAGAGGTTGTTTCCGAGTATACCAGTGCAATCGGCATGGAGTTTGGGTTGGACAAGTGCGCAGTTGCCCACTTAGAAAAAGGAAGATCGCCGAACTGGAGGGATAATGTCGAGCTTATAGACGGGAGCATCATAAAACATCTGGATGCTGGAGAGTCTTACCGATATCTTGGACAGGCACAATCTCCTTTGCAGGACGTGTCTGTCATCAAAGATACTCTCCGCAGTGAGTACAAGTGGCGACTTAAGAGAATATGGAGCTCTGAATTATCAGGCCCTAACAAAGTCAAAGCCACGAATATGCTCGCTGTCCCAGTCTGGCTATACTCATTCGGAGTTCTCAAATGGCTCCGAAAAGAGCTTAAAGATTTGGACATTATCACGAGGAAAGTGATGACATTATATCGAAGTCATCACCCGCGATCTTCTGTCCAACGCCTATACTTTCCCCGTGATTTGGGAGGGCGTGGACTACTAAGTTTGCAGTGTCTACATGACAGGTTAGTGATAGGCCTGGCTTATGACATCTATGAGAGCTTTGATCGTCTTCTCAAGTTCGTGAACAGCTTTGAACTATTGGGAAGGGATGCGTTCTTATATAGAGCAGCATATCAGGCAGCGCAGAACCTCGGCTCAGTTTTCGACCCTAGCAGCCCAGACGGTCTAAGGCTTTTGCAATTGACCAGAGGGCAGCGAAAGGTCGATATAAAAACAACCGAGCAGTAAAAACTGCTCGACGAACATGTGGCAAAGTCCTTACATGGTGTGTTTTATCGTCATTTCGAAACACACGACTTGTCACACCAGCTGACTTTCCAATACCTTAAGTCAGCTGGCTTGTTCTCTGAGACCGAAGGATTCATTATGGCCTGTCAAGATGGTGTATTTTCCACCCTCGCCTATCAGTGTGATGTTATGCACGAGCAACTCGAGGACACAAGATGCCGAGTTTGCCACGGTGATGTAGATGAGACGCTATTTCATGTTTTATCGGCTTGTCCGATATTAGCGCGCTCAGCCTACATTCACCGGCATAACGCCGCTCTAAGAGTGCTGTATTACCACCTTCGGCACTCTTATGGAATAGACGAGACACCAGTGCTGCCCTATGTGCTCGGTAAAATTGAGTCAGTCGTTGAGAACGGGAGAGCAAAAATTCTTTGGAATTACCCGCTCTCTACGCCTCAATGCATTGAACACAATAAGCCGGATATTACTCTTTTCGACCATTCTTTCATTTAATTAATTGCTGTCAATCATTAATAAACATTCTTATTTATTTACTAATTTTCCGCAGTTGTTATTGAGTCTTATTTTACATTGGTGTCAGAAAGTGGTTCGTTTCGCGTGCCGTGAATATTGTTGTTTTGTGAATTTTGGAGAATTTTTGAAAAAATCATGCCCAAGAGTCCGAGTCGTAGGCAAACTCGAGCCGGAAGAAGGACTCAATATGCCGATTGTGTCGAAGACGGTAGTAATGGGGGACCAAGCCCGTATATTATGTTGAATTCACAGCCCCGGCGCACACCACAGTGCATGTGATAGTCCTGGTGATTGGCGCCCTCGAAGGAATGGGAGACCGCTTTCTGACAGAGCTTCGAACAATACCAGTCTATAATTTAAAAAATAACTCTAATAATTTGTCGAATCGGTCTCAACCTTTTCGGTTAATAATAGTTCTTTAGCTTCTGCAAAACCCGATAAATTTGATGGTTCTCAGATGTGAGAATCTTATCCCCGTCAATTTGAGACTATCGCTCGTCTACATAAATGGACAAATGAAGTTAAAGCATCGATTTTAGTGTCCTGTTTGAAGGACAAAGCTCAAGTCATTTTAGAAAATTTGAGTTTAGAAGATTTGGGGAATTTTGATAAATTGAAGAAAATTTTGGAAGATCGTTTTGGTGAAGCTCAATTTTCTCGAGCTTCTTTTAGTCGTTTTCAGGCTAGAAAACAGTCTGAAAATGAAAATTTAACAGATTTTTCAAATAATTTAGATAGCCTTCTCAAATGTGCGTATCCTTCGGTCTCTTTCGAAGAGAGAGATAGAATTGCTGGTTTACAATTTATTTCCGGATTAAAAAAATTAAAGTTACAATTTTCTCTTCGTTCAGAGAGAATTGAGTCTCTTCAATTAGCAACTCAGAGAGCTTTAGAGCTCGAGTCGATTGAAGATTTGACTTTCGGAGGTCAGAATAAAAATAAATTTGATAGTAAGAATAATAATAATTTAGTAAAAATAATAATAATTTCAATAAAAATAATAATTTAGAAAACGATAATAGAAATAATTCGTTTAAAGGAAATTTTAGGTCAAATTCCCAAAATCAAAATTCTTCGCAAATTTTCCAATGTTGGATTTGTGGTGAAGAAGGACATTCTAAGAATAATTGTCAAGTTCTTCATGCTGTTCAAGCCAGTTTATCAAGTATTCATGATTTTAATGAGTCAACTGTTGACGGTTCATCTAAAAAAAAATTTCGTCAAAACTAAAAATAAATTCAATTGATTTTTCTTATTTTTCTGGTTCTTTAAAACCGAAACTTTTACTCAGAGGAGAAGTTAATGGTAAAAAATATATCATGATAGTTGATACTGCTGTTGATATTACGGTTGTTAATTCTTCTTTGTCTAAAGGAAAGGTAACTGTTTCGAATAATTCTTCTATTTCTTATTCTATTTTTACAGTTTCGGGTGATAAATTTGATTTTGATTTTATCAAGGCTGTAGAAATAAAGATTTCCAATATTAAGGTTAATTTAGAGGTTGTTTTCGCTCAAATTGAAGAACAATGTATTCTAGGATTAGATTTTTCAATCAAGTCTGGTTTATTTACTGAATTCAAAGATCTCCGTGATCAAAAATTCTTAGAAGGTAATAAATTTGTTTCAATTAATAGAATGAGTTCTTCTTTGAATGAACTTCTAGAATTTGTTTTAGATTCGTTTGAAAAATCTTCAGAATTTTTGGATGACAATGATAAATTTCATTTCAAAGGACTTTTATTAAAGGATTCAAATATTCGTGCAAAAAATTCTCTTCATTTAGGAAAGTGAAAAATTTTACAACATAGAATAAATGTTGGAAATGCACTTTCTATTAAACAGGCTTCTCGTCGTATTCCTTTACATTATAGGGATTAAGTTGATTTAGTTATGGAGGAAAGGAAACAACAGAATGCAATAGAACCTTGTGATGGTTCTTGGGCTTCTCCTGTTGTTCTTGTTCCCAAAAAAGGTGATGACATGTAGTTTCTGGTGAAGGATTGGAAAGTTCTCCAGATAAAATTTCTACCATTATTAGTTGGCCTGTTCCTAAAAATAAATCTGAACTTAAAAGTTTTCTAGGTCTTTGTTCTGATTACAGGAAATTCGTCAAAGATTTTGCTACTATTGCAAAACCTTTATATCTTATTTGTCAGGAAAAGAAAGATTTTATTTGGGATAATTCAGAACGAAAAATTATCGCTTACTTTAGCAAAACTTTAAATAATCGTGAACGTAACTACTGTGGTACAAAGAAAGAATTATTAGCTGTTGTTATTTCTGTTGAAGATTTTCGTCATTGTCTTCTTGGCAAGAGGTTCACTATTAAAACTGATCATGCATCTCTCACTTGGTTACTTCGTTCCAAAAATCCTCCAGATCAAGTAGCTCGTTGACTTAAAATCTTATTCCAATATGATTTCGAAGTTCAACATAGACCTGATCATAAACATGGCAATGCTGATGGTCTATCGAGGCGTCCATGTGATTTTAAAAAATGTCTCAAAATGGATTCTGATAAAAAATGTGATAGTAGGCATATTTTCCGTGTCATTTGGAAAATTAATATTGATTCCGATTGGATCGAATTCCAAAATGACGATAACATTTTGAATTTAATTATTAAACTCAAAAAGGAAAATAAAGTTTCCGAGTTTAATGATGTTTCACATTTGGATTCTACTTTTGAAATTTATTTACTTTATTGGAATTGAAAATGGTGTTTGGGTTGAACGTTGGGAATTAATTCTCCTTCTGGTGGTCATTTTGGTATTAATAAAACGATTTCAAAAATTCGTCAACGATTTTTCTGGGCAACTCTTAAGCAAGATGTTGAGATTTGATGTAAAAAATGCTAAGTTTGTTTCGCTAAAAAGGGTCCTCATAAAAAATCTCGTGGTTAACTTCAAATTTAAAATGTCTGTTCTCCTTTTCAAAGGGTTGTCATTGATATTTTTGGTCGTCTTACTAAAACCTCCTCTGGAAATAAATTTTTACTTGTTGTTACAGATTATTCCTCATTCTAAGGCAATTCCTCTGCCTAATCATCAGGCTTCTACTATTGCTGAGGCTTTAGTAACTCAAATATTTTGTAGATATGGTGTTGCTATTGAAATTCATTCCGATCAGGATCGAGAATTTGAATCTGAAATTTTCAAGGAGGTCATGAGTCTTTTTGGTATTAAGAAGACAAGAACCACACCTCTTTATCCTCGATCAAATGGTTTAGTTAAAAGGTTGCATAGGACTATTCTTCAATATTCGTCCAAATTTATAAGTAAGAATCAAAAAGATTGGGATAAGTGGATTTCTTTATTTTCATTGGCCTATCGTTCTTCAAGACATGGAACTACTGAGTATTCACTAGCTTTGTTGATGTTAGGTCGTGAATTAAGGTTGCCTATTGATCTTCTTAGAGGAATTGATCCTTCAGATAATTCTTTTGAGGATAACTCTATAACTGATTTTGTTTTTAATCTTCGTAAACAATTGAAGATTGTTCATGATTATGTACGGGATAAGTTGCAAATTAAATCAGAAGAACTTAAGTGTATGTATGATTTGAAATCTAATGTTCTCTCTTTTGATGTCGATCAAAAGGTTTGGTTATTTTTCTCTCAAAGAGTTAAAGGAAAATGTCCAAAACTTCAATGTGAGTAGGAAGGTCCATATATTATCAAAAACAAACTCAATGATGTATTTCGAATTCATCAAATTCCGAATAGTCATTTGAAAGTTGTTCATATGAACAGACTCGCTCCTTATGAGGATAATTAGTTATTGTGACTCTATGTAGGATATACACGGTTGGAGTCATTGTACCGGAATCCTTTTCTCCATTTATTGGCCAAAGTAAAGCAAAGTGAGGTGCTAGATGTCCATGGTATCCTAATATTTTTGTTCGGACAGTGAGCGTAACTGTGAGCCCAATTTTTTAATAATTTAGTTTGCACAGTGAGCAGAAGCTATTGAACTTATTTTTGAAAATTCCCTGCACAAGGTGGAATTGAATTTATTGTTTTAATGATATTGAATCATTTATTTGAGAGTCGGATTTTTATTTAAAAAAAGGATGCAAAGTCGGAATTTATTTGGAGAATTGACTCTATGAAATGTGACCATTCAACCTAATTATTAATTGAACATTGAATTTATGATTAAAAATGAAATTTTTAAAGAACTACATTTCTGTGAGGAACTTTCATTTTGTTTAGTTCCATGACCTTCCAGTTCTTGGTATTTCCGACTCTTTGGGTTCTTTTGGTTCTTCCCAGTGGTTCCTCCTGATAAAAAAGAAGGGTGGAAAGGGAATTGAATGCTGGGAACCTAAGAATCTGCAGGAAATAAGGTGATAGTTGGACCAGATGTACCCCATCACAACTGTCGTCACAAATCATTGTAGTTTCAACATAAGCATCAGGATTCACCATCCATTTTATACACTCGTTGATAATGTCGAGTTCATTTAATTCATCAATTAAATGTTCAAGTGTTTGATATACACTAGCAGGAATAAGCGACCCATGATTTTGTGCTTTGTCAAAATTATGAGTATTAGCAACGTTTTCTTTCACGAATTCTAGGTTATCGACGTCATGTATGAGTGAAAAAGAAACACTGGCATGTTTTGCAGGAACATTCGAAAAATTCATAGAAATACTTATTTCTTCCAAGGATACGCCTTACTTCCCAGGCAATTTTAGAGGATGTGATAATTGTGTCACAAAGTGCGTTGTTGTATTTTCAGGAAAATAAATCATGCTACTATTACTAGGTAAAATTATGTGAAACTGGTCTTTTTGCAGTGTCATTGTTAGTTTCTTGATTTTTGACTCACTCTTGACAGCTCTTCCTCATGAGAAATACTATCTATATTTTGATCGTTCAAATCTTGGAGTATATATACAGGCAGCTGACGAAATTTTTACACACGAATTATTTAAAAAATTTCTTCACTCTAGCCGCTTGTATAACCTTTCATGAAAGCGGCCTTTGCTTTACTAATGCGGACTAGATCATCAACGTTATATTTAGATGTTTTCGATACTTCTTTACGCCACCTATTATTTTCATAACGATGTTGCATATTCTGAAAGACTACTAATATATTCTCAGTATCAATTTCAGAAGGCATAAATTTTTTTGCATTGTGTTTAGTATGATTGTAAGCTGAGACAATTTTCTGTAGAACATCAATGTATTTTTTTGTGTTGGCATATGTAAAATAACGCCACATTCGCTCTTTTAACGTGCGATTAAAGCGTTCAACAATAGCCGCTTCAACATCTGGATTTCTCACTGTTCTGAAAATAATTTCTTTGGGAACCTGGGATAGGAATACCTTCAATACTAACAACCCCTGCATTATTCCATTCGATAATATTATCAGGCATATTTTTTAAACGCCTGTAAAGAAGTTTTGCCTTTGACTGAAATTTTTTCAAAACACTATCAATAACAGATTGATCAATGTAATGATCAGGCGATTTATTAATCGACTCCCTTGTTTTTTCGTACAATGTTTTTTGACTATCATAGGAATTTTTATTTTTTAAGAAATTTGGTGTTGTCACCGTCTGATTCTTATTGTTGATAAGGCGTAAATACCTTTCTAGCACTCGTAAGTAAGCATTCCACTTCTCACGTTTATTTTGATGGGCTGTAGAGCATAGTATTTCATTCATCTCTTGATTGAGGCGTGCCAAAACTGAATTATAAATTTTATCTTACCTATTCATTGATAAATTTGTATCTGTTGCCCGAAAATGTTTTGCCGTTTCTTTTGGTATTAAAACCATTTGTTTAGCATGCTCCATTATTTTTAGCTATTTATGAATTTTGATATTAAATGAACCCAAATGGGGGTTAAAGTACTAGTAAAAACCCGCCACCTTTCTGTTAAATTATTTTTTTTTTCTTTGGCACTTCCCCGTTAAGCTAAGCGTCGTGAAATGGCCGCGTACCGCTTTAATTTGCGTTGCCTCGTAAAATATTAAGAGCGCATTCACATAAATATCTCACTAACTGTGGATCAGCTTTTCGTAAAATAGCAGCTCGTTGTTCTTTTCCCAGATAAAATGAAGCGCTGAGAATTACTGCTTGTTTCTTCCGTGATGCGTTTGCCACCATCACTAAATGACAATTGATAACTTATTATTATTTGAACTCATATTCATGTGTTTTTCCTGAACATAAACGTAATGTCTCGGATCATCTGAAAAAATACATGTGCGAAATCGGCAATTTTTCTGGTGTTGATTGTTTCAAGTTCAATAACAAGTATCTATGGGAGGGTACTGTTGCGTCATAATATATTTCTTGGAAAAAGCGTATATTTTCTGGACACACCTGACGAGCTAAATGCTGGCTATGTGAGCGGTCACGGGGATTTTTAAAAATTACAATATAGTTAGCATTGAGTGAAATATCCCGTTGTCCTTTTTTCTGATAGAATACATCTTGCGTTATGAATATAACGCTCAAGTTATATTCATAACCATAATCTGAAGAAGAAACAGATGTTGACATGCTTTCAGAAACATGACGCCCAACCCCTGAGCCGTCATCTCCTGCAGATATTTTTGAAGAAAGCGATGATGAAATTTCTATTTTATCAGACGACAACGTCATTGAGCAATCACGTCAACAAAGTTCATCTGCATCATCCTCTGGAAGTAATTATTGTTTATTTTTCAATTCAATTTTATAACGAGTATTATTATTAAATTCGTGTAGGTTATGATTACGATTAGGGCCCTCGTGAAGAATAACACTGTCTTCAACTATCAAATTATAGATATTCAACACGACGGAGTTGTGACTGGAGCAGCAGCGAAAAAACTCCAAAAGACAACCGACCAGAGCAACGTTTTGCCAAGTATATCATCAGAAAATTTTGCTGTCGTTTTAATATCGATAAAGAGCGTGCGAAAAATACAATCATATACAGATCGTGATAGGATAGACTTTGCTATTAATTATGAAAGATTAACAACAGGGCCAATTTGGACTCATTTCTTATGAAGGACTTATGAGACTTACTATGTAAAATTGCTCAAAATGCTAATGGTTTGAATAGTGATGATAATATTGTATCAATGGTTGCAATTGTACGGGGCGTCGGGGGGAGTGGAAATAAAAGTTAAAATTTGGAAACATTTTTAAGCGTTCTATTTTACGTATTACTGACGATAATACTTTAATATATACCACAGATAAAAGAAGACAGCACGCTTGTAATGAAACTTATTGTCGTATTTGTAATTGTAATCAGCCGTCGAATCATCAGTGCTAAATGAATGTTCTCGAAATATCCAAGCCTTTAAAAGTTGTCTTTTTATTTTATGATTTTGAAACACAGCAGCACCAGTATATTAATGGTGATAAGACAATAAAATTGCATGTTTTCAATCTTTGCGTTGTTTAAAAGGTATGTGTATACTGTGCAAACAATAACGATTTATCCCAAAGCTGCTCTTTTTGTGGTGAGCGCGAGTATATATTGTAAAATAAGAGCAAATAACAAATATAGGGAATGAATTAATAAAGAAAAAATCCGTGCGGTCAACTCAAGTCACAGTCAAAAACTGGAGATAAACAAACTCTCCCCTCGTTGCCATAAACAATCTAATCGTCAAGCAATCGTTGTTAACTAACAAACTGTCGTTAGTCTAATAGTCATTAGATGGCGACATACAAATATTTTATACTTCTATTAGGCTAAAATAAAAAAACATGAAAAATCTAAAATTTAATTTCTAATTAGAAATTATGATAATCAAAATAATAATCATTCAGCCTAGATTCTAATATTGCCGCTTCCCCACTCTGCTTTAAAATAAATAAAACAAATAATTAGGAGGGAAAAATCCTGCGGCGGGTAAAAACCTCCAAACAGACCAAAATGATCTAAATTAAACTAAAAACGTGATTCTATACAATAAAAGATTTCTTAAAAACTAATCGTCCGTTAGTCAAATTAAAAATAAAAAATAAAAAGTTCCATCTTCAATTCCCTTTCCACCCTTCTTTTTCATCAGGAGGAACCACTGGGAAGAACCAAAAGAACCCAAAGAGTCGGAAATACCAAGAACTGGAAGGTCATGGAACTAAACAAAATGAAAGTTCCTCACAGAAATGTAGTTCTTTAAAAATTTCATTTTTAATCATAAATTCAATGTTCAATTAATAATTAGGTTGAATGGTCACATTTCATAGAGTCAATTCTCCAAATAAATTCCGACTTTGCATCCTTTTTTTAAATAAAAATCCGACTCTCAAATAAATGATTCAATATCATTAAAACAATAAATTCAATTCCACCTTGTGCAGGGAATTTTCAAAAATAAGTTCAATAGCTTCTGCTCACTGTGCAAACTAAATTATTAAAAAATTGGGCTCACAGTTACGCTCACTGTCCGAACAAAAATATTAGGATACCATGGACATCTAGCACCTCACTTTGCTTTACTTTGGCCAATAAATGGAGAAAAGGATTCCGGTACAATGACTCCAACCGTGTATATCCTACAGTAACTCCACGAGAACGCTCCAGGACAGACATTGTGAATTTAAATCAACAATCAAATGCAGATATATCGTATGCAGTTTTGCAGAAGCTAAAGAACTATTATTAACCGAAAAGGTTGAGACCGATTCGACAAATTATTAGAGTTATTTTTTAAATTATAGACTGGTATTGTTCGAAGCTCTGTCAGAAAGCGGTCTCCCATGCCTTCGAGGGCGCCAATCACCAGGACTATCACATGCACTGTGGTGTGCGCCGGGGCTGTGAATTCAACATAATATACGGGCTTGGTCCCCCATTACTACCGTCTTCGACACAATCGGCATATTGAGTCCTTCTTCCGGCTCGAGTTTGCCTACGACTCGGACTCTTTGGCATGATTTTTTCAAAAATTCTTCAAAATTCACAAAACAACAATATTCACGGCACGCGAAACGAACCACTTTCTGACACCAATGTAAAATAAGACTCAATAACAACTGCGGAAAATTAGTAAATGAATAAGAATGTTTATTAATGATTGACAGCAATTAATTAAAAGAAAGAATCCGTGCGGTCAACTCAAGTCACAGTCAAAAACTGGAGATAAACAAACTCTCCCCTCGTTGCTATAAACAATCTAATCGTCAAGCAATCGTTGTTAACTAACAAACTGTCGTTAGTCTAATAGTCATTAGATGGCGACATACAAATATTGTACAATATCTATGACATTCCTAGTGAACCATTATTTACTGATCTGTTAACCGTCATCATTTATTTATATCACGCTGCTCTAAAACACAATTTTACGGGGCACTGTTCAATGTCTGCTGCATGGTATTATATTGATTGGCTGAATATAATTCAACAACACCTGGTGTCTTCTATAGACGTATTTCCAGCCGACAATATTCCAAAGGTGTGGACGAAGCCGATAGCACTTGTTAATACTGATGGCCACAAGCAACCAGGGCAACACAGGGTTGTCATGTACGTCAATCGAGAAGGAGTCGGCTGTTACTTCGACAGCTATGGACTGCCACTAATTATTCCAGAACACCTTAGGAGACTTCGAGAGAATTATCGATACTTCCGCCACTCCGTCAAACATTTACAACAAGAAGATTCTCAAGTTTACGGCCAATATTGTATCTTGTTTTTGTGTGCTATGTCTATTAATTATCCACTTAGCTACTTTTCATCTTGCTTAGTCCAAAATATTTGAAACTGATCAAATTATAAGTGA